CGCAGCCTGCGCCGCGCAGCCCTAGCGCGCGCCTCGGGTGGCGCTTTCCCCCCAGGACCGGTGAGTAGCCCGGAGCGCGCAGGGTGTAGGACGCCCAGGCTGGGCACCGAGAGAACGTTTCTAGGTTTGCGAGGTAACCGAACCACCTGCTGTGATTTCCCAGCCTCCCGGCGAAGGGTCTCTAGAGGGTGCTGCTCTGTGGTCCCCTAGGGGATGTGGTTGGTTTCAAGTCCACCTGCAGGCGACCTGAACCCTTTCCCTCCTAGGGACAGCTGCTTGCAGCTCTTAGCCCCGTCTCACCTTCCGGCTCCAGAGCTACCACACAAGCAGCAGTGCTGGCCCGATCCTCGCGTCTCTTCAGACTGGGTCGTCTTTACCCTTACTCGCCCCTTGTCTCACTCAGCTTTCTGACTCTCCCTTTTGCCAGCGCGCACGCACCCCGTGTGCACCCCCCTCGCCCATTCTCGGGAGGATAAAGCCTTCTCCACGAAGTCCGCCGGACCCACCTCCGCTCCTTTGCCAAAGCCTGGCTCCACCGCCCCACTATCCCGCCGATTCCTTCCCAGAGTGAATAGTCCTCTCGGGGATTTCTGACCTCATTCCCTCCACATGATGCTGCCTCTCAGCTCCTCTGACAGCCACCTCGGGAAACTGACACCTACTCTAGATAGTGGCTGTACCTTTTCTACAGAGTTAGTGTGTTTCCCAGCTCCTCCGGCTGTTCGGGAGTGGTCGAGAATGGAAAAAGAAAGAAAAAAATAACAAAGCTTTTAAGACTAAACTTTTTGTTACTGTTGTCTTGAAGCACACAAACTAGTTACACTGCTTAGGTTCCTTCTACTCATTTACAGGCCTTTATCTGAGTACAGTGTACGCCCCTATTTTTACCTGTTCCATCCGGTATCGGGTCTTCTTTTCAGGTTAAGAACAGAGCACCTGTCTGGGAGGTGAATCTCTTTCAGCAACTACACTATCAAAAGCTCAGCAACTCTTGAGGATAAGAAGCTTTTTCTTGAAGGAGAAGAGGGTGGCACCAAACTTACCCTTTAAAATCTTCTTTGAAAAATGCAATAAGCCAAAAATCTTATTTTTTTCTTTAGGTTTAGTGGCTAAGAAAGGGATATAAAAGGATTACAAAACATTGTAGCAAGAAGCTCCTACACTATCTGGGTGCGTTGGGTGTTGTGTAGCATCTTACTATCCAGACAGTATTTCTGTAGAAGTTTTCTTCAATAGCCCTTTCTTCTGAAACCAGACTTACAGTCTTACTATTTCTACTTGTATTTAAGAATGACTATGACAAACTGGGTGAGGAAATGGGTAAGAGGTCAGATAATGTTGAAATGTGTGTTCCCAATTCCTCATGTATTTAAATTTGAAAAATGACTACCCTTACACAACTTATGATTTATATTTTTAAAAGAGGTTAAGAGAACATATTAATTTAACATGACATTTTACTCTGTTGAAGTCTTGGTCTTATGACTTATGTTTCGTGAATACAGATAAGAGGATTCAGAAATAAATGTCAGAAACTTCAAAACATGTCCCCCATTTCAGTACAGAGTGTATGAATACAAATTTCTTGACATTAATATAAATAATTTCAGGGGACTAAGAATTGAATTGTCATTCTTGCTCTTGCAGTTGTTAAGAAAGATGTATGCTTCTTCACCTTGGAGAAGCAAGTCTCTGTCCACACAAGAATAAAAGGGAAAGTTGAGCAACTGTCTTGGGAATTTGTTTAGTGAGGATTGCTTTAAAATTTTCACCTTCTCTAATATCAGGGATTTTTAATTTGTTTTGCTTTAACCCGAAGTATACCTGAGTTTTATCGTTTTGTGGTAAATGCAGTGATTAGTGGCTTTAGGTAAATGTGGACAGCTGCATCAAAAGCCAGGAGGTGCTAAGAATAGTCATCCTATTGTTGGTTCTGTAAATTTGGAAATTTTGGTTACCTTTAGTGTTTGACTGAGAAGAACTTTTGGATCTATATATTAATTATGATAAATGAAATATGCCATGTGAATAGTAGGTGAGCTAGGAGCTGAATAAGATGATCATATACGTTTTTCTTAAAATGCATTTACACTTTGGGTGACACTAATGTGATTGGTATATAAAGTATGTCCAACAATAATAAATATGTATTGAAAAAAGTACATACCAATTGAAAAGAAGAGAAAGCAAAACTCACTAATCCATTATTGCTCACAATGGTGTTAATGATCAGTTGAAAGTAATCTGTTATAATTCCATCTAATGTTAAATTCTACAATGATCTCATAATTATCTATGAAAATACAAATTAATGTGCCATAAATTATGGCAGGAATTTCTGGTGAGAATTCTCAGTAAACTAAAACACATGATCTTTCAGGATTTGATGTCATTGTCAGTAACAGCTATGCAAAGCAGTTAAATATAATACGTCAGGAGACAGACATGTCTTGGAATGGCACCTTTTTGAGTACCATTAAAATGTATCTCCTAATGCTCACAGTTATATGCCACCTAGAGGATTGATTCCAAAATTAAATGTTTGCATTGGTAAAGAGAAATTTTCAATTGTGGAAATAATATAAATCATTTCCTCAACAAGTTACCATTAGTTGAATCTTCCATGTAAAATAGTTTTTTCCAGGGGTATGTGGTGAAGAAAGAAAAACTCTGGAAAAGGAAATATCAAGAAGGGAGAAATAGAGGAAAAGTATAAATTTTATGAATACTTACTTAAATTCTTTTATCAAATAAAAGTAATTGATACAATTTCTACTATTTAGGTATTGTGATAACAGCTGTTTTCCAATTTGAATTTCAAGAAATCCCTCTATAATTGTAACAGTAATACTTTATTCTTATAAATTGGTTCATTGAGTTTTATTCACTATACTCTGAAGATCACAGGAAAACTATTCTATAAAAATCTAATTTTCTAATTGAACTAAATAAAATTCTAGACAAATTTTAATGCACAACTTTGAAAGACAGCACATATACTCCTACTTAAAATTACAATATTAGATTAACAGCAAGATTGGATATATTATTCAATTTTATGGCTATTTTATTTACTAATTCACAAGACTATATATTGCAGTGTAAAGTATAAATTTTATGAATTCAGAACAACTGTCAAATTGCAATGGCTTATATCAAATCATCACATGAAATTTCATATGGTTTTTCTATCTTCAGTCTATAAGGAATTGTTAGTAAACAACATTGTCATGGACGTACAAAGAATATTTCTAATGTAACATGATGCTTTCACCAAAGTTTCACAGCAATGTCATTAAAAACATATTCTTATGAATCTGTTCTAAAGTATAATTTAAAATTTTACAAAAAGATACATTTAAATATTGTAATTTTATATGTTACTTCATGAAATATATTCTAGTTAGCTGCAAATGGACTATGTGACATTCTTAACAGAAGGAATGTAGACTTTAGATATTAGAGATTATAAGAAACATTCCATTTCCTTCATTGTATTAATTACTTGCCCAAGGTTTGTTAGTGGGTAATAGGAGTAAAATTAGACTCCAAGTCTGATTCCATTCTACATCTCTCTATAAATTAAAAAAACCCTCCCCCATTTTATTTTGTCCAAATAATAAGGGAGACATCAGTTTCAGTATGAAGAATAAAGTAAAATGAATAAAATAAAAGATCTGCACTTCTTCATGTACAGCTTAATGTTTCTTCTTATAACCCTAACAGTTGAAAGTAACCACTCTTCTCACTCTTTCTACTTGTAGATTAAAGTGTGGGAAAAAAATTAAAAATTACACTGGTCTATCTAAAATATTGTAGTCTTACTTTACATTTCATTATGGCCAGGTGTGGTGGAGCACGCCTGTAATCCCAGCACTGGGGAGGCTGAGGCAGGAGGATTGCTGTGAGTTCGAGACCAGCCTGGGCTACATAGTGAGTTCCAGTTCAGTCTCAGCTACATAGTGAGACCCTGTCTCAAAAAAACAAAATAAATAAAATAAATAAATAAATACATAAATAAAAAATAAAATTTCATTATGAACTCTTTATTAATTTGTTGCAAAATTCCTTTGCAGTAATGATATGCTGTGGACATTTCCAGTTTAATTTCATAAACAGTTGACGGAAAAACATACCAGAAACAGATGTTGGATACTGGGCTACAGTGAGTTCCAGTTCAGTCTCAGCTACATAGTGAGACCCTGTCTCAAAAAAACAAAATAAATAAAATAAATAAATAAATAAAAAATAAAATTTCATTATGAACTCTTTATTAATTTGTTGCAAAATTCCTTTGCAGTAATGATATGCTGTGGACATTTCCAGTTTAATTTCATAAACAGTTGACGGAAAAACATACCAGAAACAGATGTTGGATTCTAAAAGCCAGTAGGGATAATGAACTTACAGTTTCTTCTTTATGCTTACTAAATCTTTATACTACCAGAAGAAAAGTTTGTGCATCCATGGTTTATTTTTTTATTTTTATTTTTATTTTTATTTTTGTCTTCATGTACTGTTGGTGGCTTGAGTAGCCAGGGATGATAAATTTATATGAGAAGGTTCCAAGTCTACAGTTGAAAGTACTGGAATTTTCAGCTTTCTTTTCACTGTGGCCAGAGGGATCAATGCAAGTGAATGACTAAATCAATGAGAACCTGTCATCATTGTAGGGAAAAGAAAAAAAATAAAATAAAACTTCAACTGTTTTCTTGGTGAGGGTGGCTCATCAATGTCACCTTATTTAGGAAGAATAATTTGGCAATTATGTTTATGATACAATTGCATTATTTGGACCAAAACTGTATTATCTAAGTGGGGCTGGGTTAACAGAAGTTAAGGGAATTGCTGATCTTAAAGTGCTTGGTGGCTGGCTCAAAAGATGAGGAAGAAACCTTGTTTTAAATTTTCCTTGTTGAAGGAATTGGCCTTCTTTCAACTCATTAAGATGCAGATTTGTCTGAAAGGAGAATTAAGGCTTCTGCGACCTAATTTCTCTGGAGTGTAATTCAGCCTCCATGTTGAGATCTCACCACATGGTAAGAAATGAAGTCATGGCT